GGAACCCGGCAGTCAAGATCGTGCCACTGCACTCCAGCCTGGACAACAGAGTGAGACTCCATCTCAAAAAAAAAAAGAAAAGAAACTAAATGATAAGGGACCAGATAGGGAAAGTGTTATAAAAGAGCTATCTAGATAGAGGAAATCACAGTTTCAAAGTATCTGAAACATGAATGATGTTATATTCTAGGAGATGCAATAGCTGGAACATAATGAACCAATGATACAAGATGTAACAGAAGCAGAAGTCAGATGATATAGAGCATTTTAGTTTATAAGTGAATTTATCTCATCCTAAATGTAGTAAGGTGCTTTTGAAGATTTTAAACAGGGGAATAATGTGATCCAATTCATATTTTAAGAAAAATGCCTTTCATAAACATTGTTTGGAAGAATACATAATCATTGCAGTGGTCTCTGTGAGGAATGATGGTAAAAATATAAAAGAAGGAGATGGCTTATAAAGAGAGAAAGAGCCCATGGCTGAGTTAAAGATTCGATAGGGGACGAAAGCAGGAAGAGCGAGAAAGAATGAGAGTTCTACCTAACAATAAAAAGGATAAGCGATAATTATAACCTTTGCAAGCCCAGTAAAGAGGATGTTCAAGAGAGCCATAGTTCATAATATATATTGCAGAGGAGAAAAGAAGGCTACACAAATCATTTTGTGATGATTTAGGTCATTGGTGATTTTAAAGCATGATTCAATGATACTATATATATTCAATGATACTAAAAGAGAGAAGCCACAGTTCAAGGTGATAAGACTAAAATTAATAGTGAGGAAATGGAGATGCTGTGCAGAAAGTTGCATAAGTTATATGTTGTGTTAGAAAGTTGAAATGACAGTTTGTACCATGAACAGCTACCCATTTGTTTCAGTCAGTGTAACTGTTTGGCTCTTGTCCATGGCTTAAGGCTTATTTGCTTTCAATTTTATTACGTGGTTTTGCTGTCATATCCCAAAAGGAATTTCTATTAAATTTCAACTGCTTTTCAGTTTACCTTATCTCCCTGTTCAGGGAAAGTTTCTAAACGGATGGGTTCAAATGATAAAGTAACAAAATTGATGGAATTGAACAGTGTGCAACATTGAGTTATACTTCAACTCTACTGTGGATTTTACTCCCAGGATAATGGGAGAATGTTTCTATTCTTGAGATAAGTTGTTCTGTCCTTCCTCACTTTCCGTAAGACTGTATTTTCTTCCTAAATAACAGACAATGCATTTAGTTCATAGGCAGCCTTGTACTCCCTTTAGCTGCAGCCAAATGTGAAAAATTACGAATTTCTGAAATCATAAAAATAGAACTTTAGTTGTTATTGAGCAAAAAGCTTTTTTTGTATTACTAGGCATTGGATCATTTGGGTACAGATGGACAAGCCGATGTTTCATTTGTTTTTCCTAAGATAAGCTAAAGTTCATGTGTTTTTTTTTTAAAGACAATTGTTACAACGCGGAATTAAGATGTACGTACATATTTTTATAGGATAATTTTGGTACAGAATAAAGAACAAGATGTCGTTGTATCTTTTTTGCCTTTTCCTTGATTTTGGTTCAACTTAGTTTAAAATAATCAATGTAAACTTTTAAACCTTTGTAAGTTAATTGAATTCTTAAAAAATTTATACCTCATTTTGTGTCTATAATACCTGCATCTACTGGTCTTCAATATAAATAAATATACAGAGGGAGGGAGAAAGATAGAACTAAACTATTCGAATTATCAAAATCTGAGTTTAAGGCTGGGCACAGTGGCTCACGCCTGTAGTCTAGCACTTTGGGAGGCTGAGGTGGGTGGATCACCTGAGGTCAAGAGTTCGAGACCAGCCACGCCAACATGATGAAACCCTGTCTCTACTAAAAATACAAAACTTAGCTGGGTGTGGTGGCACATGCCCGTAATCCCAGCTACTTGGGAAGCTGAGGCAGGAGAATCGCTTAAACCCAGGAGGTAAGAGGTTGCAGTGAGCCAAGATCACGCCACTGCACTCCAGCCTGGGTGACAGAGTGAGACTCCACCTCCAAAAAAAACAACCAAAAAAAATTTTCTGAGTTTAAAAATATGTAAGAATGAGGCCAGGTGTGGTGACTCATGCTTGGAATTTCAGCACTGTGGGAGGCTGAGGCCGGTGGATCACTTGAGGTCAGGAATGAGACCAGCCTGGCCATCATGGTAAAATCTCGACTCTCCTAAAAACACAAAAATTAGCCAGGTGTGGTGGCACACCTGTAATCCCAGCTACTCAGGAGGATAAAGCAGGAGAATCTTTTGAACCTGGGAGGCGGAGGTTGCTGTGAGCTGAGATCATGCCACTGCCCTCTGGCCTGGGCAACAGAGCAAGATTGTCTCAAAAAAACAGGCTGGGCGCAGTGCCTCACACCTGTAATCCCAGTGCTTTGGTAGGTCAAGACGGATGAATTACAAGGTCAGGGGTTCAAGATCAGCCTGGCCAAGATGATGAAACCCCATCTCTACTAAAACTACAAAAATCAGCCAGGCACAGTGTCAGCCGCCTGTAATCCCAGCTACTCGGGAGGCTGAGGCAGGAGAACCGCTTGAACCTAGGCAGCAGAGGTTGCAGTGAGCCAAGATCGCCTCACTACATTCCAGCCTGGGTGACAGAGAGTGAAATTCCGTCTCAAAAAATAAAAAAAAAAATTTAAAAATGGATTCATGAAAGTATAGAGTCTATCTGAAGGAAACCATAGTTTTAATTAAATGACTTAAGATCTCAAAAGTGAAAAGCTGTATTGTATTTCTAGCTGAAAAGGTCATTTTTTTTTTTTTTTTTTTATGGTACTAGTCATAATTCCAGTGGGTTTGAGAGAGTTCTGGGAGGTATGGTGAATAGGAACTAACTAAGCAAAATGATTTCAAAATTCATATAGAATTTTAAACTTATGTTGAAAAGACAGTATAGCATAGTGCTTAAGAGAACTGACTCTGGAGTCTAACTACCTGAGTTCATATATTAGCTCTACTACTAACTAAGTGCATCTCTCTGTGGCTCATTCTCCTGTCTGTAAAGTGAGAATATTAGTTCCTATCTCTTGGAAATGTTTTGCGGATAAAACAAGTTATTAAATATAAGCTACCTATGATAGTGCTTTAGACATAGAAAATTCTTAATAAATTAATTGCTATTAGCATTATAGAAATTACACAAAATTTTAGAAAAAGGGCTAGATAAGGGAAACTTGCTTATATATTCAAGTTGGTTGAATTAAGTTACATATTAAGTTATAACAAATTACTCCATAAGTCTAGTATAATCAAAGCAGTAAAGCATTGTCACAGAAATATACAAATAGATTAGTGAAACTAAAGAATCCAAAAATGCCTGAACCATGTTTAAAAATGACATTTAAATTAAAAAGGGAAATCTGGTTTAACAGTGGTGGAGACTACTGGCTATTTGGTGGGAATAAACAGGCCCACCTACTGTCGTCAGAAATAAATGCCAAATAGGTTAAAAATACCAAAGCAAGAGAGACGGAAAAAGCGAAAGGAAGGAAGAGCAAAAGAGCAAGCGAGCACATGAGACAGCAAAAGACGAAATAAATTAGAAGAAAATGAAGAACATATTAGTGTAACCTCCAAGACAGAGAGATCTTTGAAGGCAGTATAAGAAACCCAGAAGCCATAAAACAAAAGGAGACAGATGTGACTTTTTAAAAATTAACGATTTCTGGCCGGGCGCAGTGGCTCAAGCCTGTAATCCCAGCACTTTAGGAGGCTGAGACGGGCGGATCACGAGGTGAGGAGATCGAGACCATCCTGGCTAACAGGGTGAAACCCCGTCTCTACTAAAAAAAAAACAAAAACTAGCCGGGCGTGGTGGCGGGCACCTGTAGTCCCAGCTACTCGGGAGGCTGAGGCAGGAGAATGGCGTAAACCCAGGAGGCAGAGGTTCCAGTGAGCTGAGATCCGGCCACTGCACTCCAGCCTAGGCGACAGAGTGAGACGCCGTCTCAAAAAAAAAAAATAACAATTTCTGTCTGACAAAAGATACCATGAAGTGTCTGATAACAAATGACAAACCGGGAGAAAATACTTGCATCATTCAAAAGGTAAAAAGTACTACCCCTACCATACAGGAGTTCTCAAATTGATAAGAAAGGTGAATAGTAGCGTAAAAACAGGTGAAGAATAAACATAGACAAATCTTAGGGAAAAATAGAAAATATATTCCACTTAACTAATTAGTAGATAGGAAGGAGCAAAATGATAACCAAATACCCCTTTTCAACCATTGGACTGGCAAAAATTAAAATGGTTTATTAACATCTAGTGTTCACAGGGATATAAGGAACCAAACATTCATAACATTGCAGTTGGGGATATACATTATAATAAATAATCTTATGATTTCTCAGTATCAAGATCTTGCCATTTGAATCCATTATTTCTTCTTTGGAGAATTATTGTACAGAAATAAATGTATCAGTTGCATAAATATGTGTCTATTAATGATGTTTATTGAAGCATTGTTCAGTGTCAAAAGTCAGGAAATTATATGAATGACCATAAGTAGAAGGCTGACTAAATTATGGTACATACATTAGATAGTAATTTATTAAGATAATTATAATATGTGTATATTGACTTGAAAAATATTAACTGTTAAGTTTTTTAAAAACATACAGCATAGCGTTTTTTATTAAAAACGTCCTATTATATGAGGTTTGAAATTATGTAGAAGGAAACACAGTAAAATTTTTAAATTGCCTAACTCAGAAAGGTAGCTTTAGAAGAGACCAGAGTTTATCCTCTTATTCTTTACTTTGTATCTCTTTCCTGTTTGACTTATGACAGCAAGCACATAATTACTTTAAAAAAAAAAAAAAAAAAGAAATAGCAAAGTACAGAGCTTAACTTTAGTCTTTAAAATAAGCAGTAATAGAATGTTTTCAGTTTTTTTATAATGTGTTCATTTTTAATACATGATTATTGTAAAACTGTCTACTCATGCTCATGTATTTTGTTTTACTTTAGCAATGTCTGATCGTCAAGAGAGTGCTCTTATAGAGCTAATGGTTTGTACAATTCGTCAAGCTGCTGAGGCACATCCTCCAGTGGGAAGGGGTACTGGCAAGAGAGTAAGTTAAATTAGTGAGAAATCTACTAAAAGGTTTTTAATGCAATTAACTGTCTTAAATATTTGGAAATTTTACTGATATTTGTATCCCTAAAAACATGGTATTTTTATAAATGATGGACTCTGGTGCTTCATCTTTATATCCTATCTGCTATACTCAGTTTCCAAAAATAGATTCTTTCCTTCATGCTCCTATAGCACCTATACCTGCTTCTGTTATTGTACTTATATGGTATTTTAAGGATTTTTATATCTATTAAAAAAAAAAAAATACCTAAAGGCTCTGGAAGCAAAATGCCTAGTTTGCAAGTTCTTCTATTTAGCAGCTATATAATCTTTAGATAGATGAATGATTTTTGTATGTCTTAGTTTCCTTATCTGTAATATGGGACTAATAATAGAGGTATTTATATTAGAGATGAGTTGAGATAATCATAGATGAAGAGACTCCTGGCTCTGTTGGTTTGAAGAGATAGGCAAATCTGTCCGCAAAAAGCAAGTATTAAAAAACTAGAATGTATTGTCAAAAACATTACATCAGGGCTCCGGAAATTCACCAAAGATTAAAAAAAAAAACACACACACACAGTGGGAAATATTTTTTCCTGAATAATTGATAGAGCTTCAGGTAAAAGCAGCGGAAGTCTGTGGCCTTCTTGTCAATACACATGTATCCCCATGGTTGGTCGGTAAGATCTGTAGTTTGTTACCAGAATGGCACTGTGTGCAAAAACCCTAAGCTTTCCTGTCAGAGAGAATGGATTCAACATGGACATGTAATAAAAGCCCACAAACAAACAGGAAAAACTTACAGCTTCAATAATCTGGGGTTGTGGTAAGAGTACTGGACCAGCCGAAAATTTAACTGCCAAATCTTAGAAATGAGAATGCTATGAAAGGATTAGCTGTGCTCTCCATACATCCCTGGCTGACTAGGAAACGTTAGAGACGTTAATGGAAAGTAAAAGTCAAGCAAAATCTAAGAACTGGGTGAACTCTGAACATGCTCCCTAACCAACAACAGATCATTTCTCAGAGGGGTGGAAGCCTGATTGAAGCCACAAATATTGCAATATTTGAACACAACTTCTGCCCAAATGATTGGTTGACTCTACTAATTTATTCAAACACAACGAGGACTCCTAGGAAGACAGGCTAAAAAACAAAAGTAAGAATAAAAATTCTGAGCAGAGATAGCAGAAGTAACTCACTATGGAGGAAACAGATTATTCAGTTTACGTTAAAGATTCCCTTTAAAAAATTGGAAACTTTTATAATTACAAAAAATTAAAATCTATAGTTAAAATTGAAATCCGCCAGATCCAGTGACTCATGCCTGTAATCCCAGCACTTATGAGGCCGAGGTGGGGGATCACTTGAAGTCAGGAGTTCAAGACCAGCCTGGCCAACATGGTGAAACCCCATCTCTACTAAAAATACAAAAATGAGCTGGGCAGGGTGGCAAGGGCCTGTAGTCCCAGTTGCTCGGGAGGCTGAAGTAGGAGAATCACTTGAACCCAGAGGCAGAGTTTGCAGGGAGCCGAGATCATGCCACTGCCTTTCAGCCTGGGTGACAGAGCAAGGCTCTGTCTCAAAAAAAACAAAACCAAAAAAAGCAGAACACAATTAAAATCCTTAGTTACTGTATTATCCAAAAATGTCTACTTTCAAGAAAAACTACAACCATGCAAAGAAACAGTAAAATGTGACCATACTCAGGAAAAAAAGCAGACAATAGAAATGGCTTCTCAGTAGGCCTATATGTTGGATTTAGCAGGCAAAGACTTCAGAGGCCTTTTAATAAATACATTCAAAGAATTACAAGAAAATATGAAAACAAGAAGTAGAGAATCTTATATATATCAAAACCCAATATGGAATTTGGGTTTTCCATATTATGGAAATAATGAAAACCCAAATGGAATTGGGTTTATGAAAACCCAAATGGAATTTCTGGTGAGAAGTACAATGCAAAAATTTAAAATTAACTGAATAAGCTAATTAGCAGATTTAAGATGATGAAAGAAACAATAGAAAAACATGAAGATTAATAGAAATCCATTCTGAAGAACAGAGAAGAAAAAAGATTGAAGAAATATTATCAGAGCCTCAGAAATGTGTGGAACACCATCATGTGCACTGAAGTATGTATAATGGGAGTCCCAGAAGGAAAGGAGAGAAGGATAGAGGCAGAAAAAATACTTGAAGAAATCACTGAAAACCTCCCAAATTTAATGAGAGACAATTTATAGATTCAAGAAGCTTAACAAAACCCAAATAAAATAAACACAAAAGTTCCACATGTAGACACAACATAGTCACGTTGTTAAAAGACAAAGACAAAAAAATCTTGAAAGCAACAAGAGATAAACAACTAATATAGAGAGCAGTAGCAATAGGATTAAGAATTAGCTTATCAGAAACAATGGAGCCCAGAAGACAGTGGAATAACATATTCAATGAAAGTCAACAAAATGGCCAACCAAGAATTATAAATTTAGTAAGATTGTCTTCCAAAGATGAAGTGTAAAAAACCATTACCAGAGAAACAGAAAGGGGAAATTTGGAGAATGTGTTGCTAGATCTGCCATACCAGAAATACTAGAAGAAGTCCTTCAGCTGGGTGCAGTGGCTCACGCCTGTAATCCCAGCACTTTGGGAGGCTGAGGCGGGTGGATCACAAGGTCAGGAGTCCGCGACCAGCCTGGCCAACATGGTGAAACCCCATCTCTACTAAAAAAAACCAAAAGTTAGCTGGGCATAGTGATGTGTGCCTGTAATCGCAGCTATGTGGGAGGCTGAGGCAGGAGAATCTCTTGAACCCGGGAAACGGAGGTTGTGGTGAGCCAAGATGGTGCAGCTGCACTCCAGCCTGGGCAACAGAGCGACACTCCAACTCAAAAAAAAAAAAAAAAAAAAAAAGAGTCCTTCAAGCCATAAAGGATACCATAAGATGATAAAACGAATCCACAAGAAGGAATGAAAAAAGAAAAAAGAAGGAATGGGCTGGATGCAGTGGCTCACACCTGTAATCCTATCACTTTGGGAGGCCAAGGCAGGTGGATTACCTAAGGTCAGGAGTTCAAGACCAGCCTGGCCAACATGATGAAACCCCATCTCTACTAAAATTACAAAAATTAGCTGGTCGTGGTAATCCCAGCTACTCGAGAGGCTGAGACAGGAGAATTGCTTGAACTCAGGAGGCAGAAGTTTCAGTGAGCTGAGATCACCCCACTGCACTCTAGCCTGGGCGACAGAGTAAGACTCCGTCTCCAAAAAAAAAAGGAAGAGTGTAAATCTGAAATGGTAAGTATGTGAGTGGATGTAAAAGGTAAAAGGGCTGTGGTGTTGAGCTGTGTGTGTGATGCGTGTGTTGTTTCTTCTTCTTAATTTTTTTGAAGAACATGACATTACATCTATTTAGGAAGATCAGCTGTGTCTAACTGTGGACACGGCTGCATGTGGGCCCAGCAGGATGGCTTTGAATGCAAGCCGGAAACAAAAATTTGTAATACTGTCTTTAAAGAGATTGAGATATTTTTTGCTGCGCTTTTTTTTTTTTTTTTTTTTTTTTTTTTAAGCTTTTCAGCTGTCGTTAGTGGTAGTGTATTGTATGTGTGGCCCCAGACAATTGTTCTTCCATTGTGGCCCAGGGAAGCCAACGAATTGGATACCCCTGATTTAAATCAATAATTATAGCACTATAGTGTTGAGATTATAACATAAATATATGTGACAAGAGTAACACAAAAGGGAAAAATATATGGAACTATATTGGAGCAAAATTGCTATGTTTTATTATAATTAATTCAATATCAACCTGAAGTCAGTTATAAGTTAAAAATGTATATTATAATCCCTACAGTAATTATTCATACTTAAAAATAAAAGCAGAGGAATTATAGTGGTCCTCATCTGTTAGAGACATATGCTGAAATATTTAAGGGTGAAATTATATACTGTTTACCCTTGAACAATGCAGGAGTTAGTGGCACTGACCTGCACAGTCAAAACTCCACGTGTGCTCACTTTGGCACCAGATACACTGAATTTGGAACAATACAGAGAAGATGAGCACAGCCCCTGTGCAAGGATGACATACAAAATTTATGAAACTTTTTATGAATCTTAAAATTTTAAAAATTCACATGTAACTTTTGATTCCCCCAGAACTTAACTACTGTAGCCTACTAGTAGCCTAAATGGTGAGAAGCCTTAAAGCTGTTAGCACAAACAATGGATTAACACATTTTGTATGTAATATGTGTTATACACTGTATTCTTACAATAAAGTAAGCCAGAGGAGAAAAAAGTTTTTAAGAAAATCATAAGGAAGAGAAAATATATTTACTATTTGTTAACTGGATCAACATAAAAGTCTTCATCCTTGACATCTTGACATTAAGTACACTGAGGAGGAGGAGGAAGAGGGTTTTTCTCTTGCTGTCTCCAGTGGCAGAGGCAGAAGAGATGGAGATGGAAGGAGAGGCAGGTGCACTCTCTGTTTACAGAAATACATTGTAATTTCTGTCTTTTTGCTTTTTTCATTTCTCTAACAATGTTTCTGTGTGATATCAATCCTCCTTCCACTATTTGCTTTAATTTCAGTGCCCTCGTAATACAAGGGTCTGTGTCACCAAAGAAGCAAAAGCAGTCTTGAATAATTGGAACTCTTCTACCAAATTATCTAATGTTAATTTAGGCACCCCTTCTTCAGCATTTTCTTCCTCATCATCTGACACCACTTCACAAGCACTCATCTCCATCAAGTCATCCTCTATTAGTTCCTCTGATGTAGTGTCTTTTTTGTTTTTGAGACAGAGTTTCACTCTTGTCGTCCAGGCTGGAGTGCAGTGGCGTGATCTCGGCTTACGGCAACCTCCGCCTCCCGGGTTCAAGTGATTCTCCTGTCTCAGACTTCCAAGTAGCAGGGATTACATGTGCTTGCCACCCGCCCAGCTAATTTTTGTATTTTTAGTAGACACGGGGTTTCACCATGTT